TCTTTCCCCTACACCCCCAAATCCCCAGCGGGATCCGGTGGCGGGACAGGGGGGTCCTGAGCGCCGCCCCGCCTTCCAGGATCCGACCCAGGCCGGAGGGGGCCAGAGCACTGTCTCCTGCCCTCGGACCTAGCTGGGACATCAGGGCACTCCCAACCCCTCTCCGTCCACCCTCACCCCCCAGGATTCACGGGTCAAGGGAGGAAGGGATCTCGGACCGACCGGGCAGGTCCTGAGCGCCGTCCCTTTCCCCAGAATCGGACAATGGTATCCTGGGCGCACCCTCTCCTTGTCCCCAGTATCCTGAGCGGGATAGGGTGGGAGCGGGAGGCCGCGGCACCCTCCTCCACAGGGGAGGTGGGGATCCCAGAGGCCGCAGGTCTCCTCCCCACCTCCAGTCTCTGAAGGCCGCTCGGCTAGGAGCCCGGAGGGGAGCAAGCCAGGAGGGCGATGGAGGCGGTCCCAGCCGGAGGGTGGGAGGAAGGAGGCGGCGGCCGCCGCCCGGCCCCCTGCGGTGGTGGCCCTGCCGAGAGCCTGGGCCGCTGTCCCCGCCTGACAACCCACAAGGGAAGGAAGACGCCCCGGGACTCACGTCGCTCTCCACCTCGATGTCATCGTTATCGCTCATTTCCTACGGCCCAGGGAGCGGCCACTGCAGCAGCGGCAGGGAAGGGGTAAGGGTGGAGGGGAGGGGGAAGTCACCGACAACAAGCAAGTCCCCCACACACTCACTCACTCACTCACTCACTCGCTCTCTCACTCACTCACACACACACACAACACGGGCGAGAAGCACCTCCTCACTGCAACACCGGATCAACGGCGGCACGCACGCCCGGCGGCCCCCCTGACACGTGACCGGGCTCATCACGCTGGGGCCACCGAGAGTTGTAGTTCTTGTTCTTTTGACTGACGGCCCAGCTAACGCCAGAAAAACTACGAATCCCATAAGGGACTGCATCTAGCCGACGCTAGTCCAGTTCGCTGAGGCAGCCCAGAGCGCCTGCGTATCCTTTGGTTGGGGGCGGAGAGAGAGAAGCGCGCAGTGCCTGCTGGGAGTCGTAGTCCGTAGACCGCGAGTTGTCAGGAGGTGTCCTCCCTCAGGCAGCAGTGGAGGCTGCTGGGAAGACAGGACACGTGGAGGAAACTCGGGCTCCTGAAGCCGGGCACCGTATGTGTGTTGGGCGCTGGGCCCAGGGCCCAGGGTGGAGACTCTGGGGGAGTAGCCGGCTGCCTAAATAACGCTGCCTCTCCTCGGGACTACTGGTTTTACTTTGTTTATTTGATGCCCTGAGTCGCTCTGCATTGCTCCCTGGGGTGTAACCGCCAGCTGGGGGTGGGGTGGGATCCTTCTGCGGGGGACTTGGGGGCGCGGCTTGGGGTGCACACGAGGACCCTTGGGATTTGGCTGTGGGGAGATGTCAATGGCAGGTGTTAAGTGGCATTACAAGACAGGCAGGATGACCCGCCTCGCTGAGGGACAGTTCCCAGGCGTGAGAATCTTGCATTTATTAACCGGGACTGATGATCTTGCTCCTCGCACGAGGCTCTACAGACATCCGTTACCCCTGCCCCCGCCCCAACCCCAACCATTGTTTATGTGGAAGTAAAAGCCTCTCGAGTTTGTTGTGGACAGGCAGTTTAAGGAGTGCCCAGTTCGGAATACCATAATTAAGAATTGCAGAAAGTATTAAAACAGTGGCCAGGTTAGAAATGTCCAAACCGATAGAGAATTTGTCTAAGAGTCTATTTGAGCCAAACTGACAACACATGCCTCTGGGGATGAGAACCGCGCAGCAGTGTTTTTCTTTTCAAAGGTATGTTAACTTAGGCGCACAGAAGCCATGGACAGGGCTTGCTTCAGGGAAAGCAGGCCTTTTACTAAACAAGTTCTATGCCTGGGGAATAACTACCCACTATGGCCTGCTTGCCCAGCTAGGAATTTTTGGTCAGATTGCCCTGTGAGGTTACTTTCTATAGAAGCCCTTCTTCCAATCCACAACAGGAAACTGATGCAGCTCCCTAGCCAGTTAAAATCATATTTAAATACTGTGGCATAAGGTGTGATCATATCCATTCCACCAATATTTATTGAACACCTAACATGTGCCAGCAAGGGGATGCGATAATGTATAAAACTGGAACAGTCGCAGCCTTCATGCTGCTCACAGCTGTGGAAACAAAAATTAAACTGCCCTATCACCATTTTTAAGAGTGAACATCAAGTCCCACAGGAAGGAAAAACAATAACAGGACACTTTCAGCCCTGACATAAACAAAGCAGCAGAACTACTTTTACATCTGGTCTCCAAAATGAATGAAGTCTTGAGCTTTTCCTAAAATTACTGATTCCCTAATGAAAATTACTGATCCCTGACTTTTGAATACAGAAATTTGGAATATGTCACATTTAGATTTCTCCTGTATTCTGTTACATTTCTTTTGTATTCTGTTGTATTATTCAGTGATCCAGTTCTACAGAAGTTTCCCTGTCTTTACAAGTAATCGTCTTTTCTAAATGCTTTTGTCTCTTAGTCGTCTTTCACACTAAGTGGGGGAGATAGACATAAGCAGAACATTATAAGAACTGATGCTCTATAAGGCAAACAGGGAAGGTAGCTCTTGAGTAAGTTAATTAGCTGGATATTAGAAGTTAGGGCTAATTCATGATTACAACCAACAATTATTGGGTGCCAGTTATGTGCAAAGCACTATAGGGCAACCCTGGCTACAAGTTAAAATCGCTCCAGGGCTATTAAAAATTTCAAAGCCCTGGCTGTACCCCAAAACAATTAAGTCAGAACCTCTGGGGATGAGAACCGGGCAGCAGTATTTTTTTAAAGCTCTGCAGGTGATTCCAATATGCAACCAAGATGGAGAACCACTGCTACAAAGGATCCAAGGTAAATAAGACAGTCTTCCACTGAATCGTATACTTTACAAGAGTGAATTTTATGGTTTGTCAATAATTATATTTCAATAAAGCAGTTATATAAAAATAGGATAATCTTTGCCCACCCAGAATCTAAAACCTGTTAGGGTAGTAAATTATGAATACAAATAACTGCAATGAAGACAGACTGTTAAATTGGCTACACAGGCAGTGAATGCTGTAAGAACTCAGAGGAGAGAGAAATATTTCCGGGTCTGAAGTGAGGTGCGGAGGTGTTGGCAATGAGGTACGTCTTCTTAGGATGTCAGGTCCATCGGGAGCAAGGACGGGGTCTGCAGAGACCGGGTCAGACTTTGGTGAACATGAATCCCCAGTTGTTGGATGGGCAAGTAGGCAGAAGTGAGGAGGAAAGGCTTTCCAGGTAGAAAGCCTGGAAGTTTTAACACATTTTTTCGTAGTGATTGATAGAATATGAAGACCTATCAACCCAGGTAATAAATTTGAACTAATATACGTAAAATGCATCACTCAACAATTGTAGAATATGTTCTTTTCAAGCTCTCATGGAATATTGGTACAAATTGATCATGTTCTGAACCATAAAGCAAGCATTAACAAATTTCAAAGGACTGTGATCTTAGCAAGTTCTTGCACCTAATGCAATTAAAGTAGAAATAATAACTAAAAGATAACTAGAAAATCCTTATAAGTTTGGAACTTAAGAAACACTTTCAAGTGACTCAAATGGAGGGACTGGGTCTTGACACTGGGCTGCCCAATCTAGCCCCTTGCTACTCTAAATTAGGTCTGGTGGTATCCACATCACCAGGGAGCTTGTTAAAATAAAGGCCCAACCAAGACCTACTAAAACAGATCTGCATTGTAACAATCTGCCCAAGTAATTCATATGTGCATTAGTGTTTGAGAGGCTCTGATGAGAGAGGAGGGGGGACTAGAAGCGGGGAGGGCAGGCAGACTGCTTCCATTTTCTCCTCAGCTCTTTCACAAGTTGGCTTCCATTCTACTACTTGACTGAAATCACTCTTACCCTGGCCACCAGCTACCTCTTTATTGCTAAATCCAATGCCCTTATTTGATTTGACAGTGGCCTTCTGCATTGTTGACCATTCCTGTTTCTTGAAGGCCATGGACTCTTCTTCTTTCCTTCTACCCACATGGCTGCTCCTTCTCTGCCTCTTCTGGTTCCTCTTGCCCTTCCAGTGTTGGAGTTCCAGGGATTCTGGTGGCCCTTTCTCTTCCCCTCCCAGGCTCACCTGGTGGGCTTCTCTGCCTCCTGAGACTTTGGTGACCATCTCTCTGATGGCGACTCCAAGACTGTATCTCTCTCTCTCGAAGTCTAGATTGCTATATTCAGTTTATTTCTGTATACATCTACGTGGATTAATCCATAGGCCACTCAAAACTTGAGGCTTATGGGTGAGTGAGGAAAAGTAGGTTTGACGTAGCATTTGGAGTATGATTCATCCATATAAAGCTGAACATATCTGTTCGAGTATATACATGTAGAGAAGTGAGTAGAAGGATATTCAGCAAAAATGTTAATAGCATTTGTCTCTGGGAGGTAGAATTTCCAATGATTTTTCTTTTTCTTTTCAAGTGAGCAGCATCATTCTCAACAAAACAGTAGAGCTATTAAAAGACAACCACTATCTCAGTAAGTCCGTTATCTTTCCTAAGCAGCAAACTTCTCAAGCCATAATCCTTAGGAAGACAGTCCCTGCTTTCCCCATGCCACTTATGCTTCCTTTTTTACTTTTTGCGGGGAGAGGGTATAACCTGAAGGGTCCCAGAAGGAACCAGCTGGCACCGTATTAATAACGAGGTTGTTTACAAATATTTGAGTAGGGTGTAAAGAAACTATAAGGGATTATGCAGTACCACTGGGACTCTGTGCCCATCCCTAGGCCTGTAGGGTAGAGGGAATGAGTGGTTTTGGAGCTGGGCCTGGCCTGTTGGAAAGGGCCCTCTGACCTGGAGCCCAGGGCAATTGGATCTCAGACCTGGAGCCCAGGGCAATTGGATCTCAGACCTGGAGCCCAGGGCAATTGGATCTGGAGGGCCAAAAGGAAGCTCTCCAAGGCACAGCAAAGGAAACTTTCCTCTTCTTTTCACATTTTCAGAGAGGCCTGGGAACTGCCAACCCTCATGCCTGTTTCCACCCTGCAGCCAGAATGATCTATCAGGACTGAAATATCTTCACTCTCTTGATTAAACCTTTCCATCTGTCTCAATATTCTTAGGATAAAGCCCCGCTCCAGAGTTTATAGCACATAAGACCCTTCATGATCTGCTTCTTTGGCAAGTCTCATCTTTCAGCTCCTGCTCTCTCATGCTCTACACTCTAGCCAAACAAAATTTCTTCCCTTTCACCTAAAGGACCATGTTTTCTTTTGCTTCCAAGAATTTCCACATGCTGTTCTCTCTGCCATGAGTGGTATCTCCCTCAAACTACTCTCACTTACCTCCCTTCTCATTCTTTTTGGCATAGCCATCACCTCCTCCAAGAAGTCCTCCTGGATTCTCCCAAGACTGGATTAGAGAGAATGTGCTGAGCCACATGCAACCTGTTTCTCCTCTCAGATTGGCCAAGCTGGTGAGTCAGTCTTCCTCCAAGGGGGATAGAGGAAGGGGGGCAGAGATGTCAGGTATCCCTCCCATATTTTTCCCTCCCTGAAGACATCGAACTGTCCAGTCCCTTGAACTTTCAGCCTCCAAAACTGAGCAATAGATTTCTGTTGCTATAAACCACTCAACTAAAAACAGATGCTCATTGGCAGCACAAATGGACTAAGCCAATCAGCATCTGTTTTTATTTGGTATTTGTTAACTTATTTATGGACAACCACCCCACTAGCACAGAAGTCCTGTGAGGCCAAGGGCTGTGCCCATTTTGCTTCTAGTCATATTCCTGGCACCCA